GCCTACACTTCCACAGAAAGGTTTTCAGTTACCCAAAACCCAGCGCGCACACATGCACACACCATTTTCTGTTCCTGATTGGTCTTTTGCAGCTAAGTGGCTCTTAGTTAAATGTGAGCTCCCTGCTGGTGCCTTGCACCGCAGACAAGATGTAAAATGTTGTTAAGCCTTAGAACAGGTATTTCCAGTTCCCTGATGGCTCCCCCTGCTCAGCAGAAGTTTCTGGACCCTGCGGGCTGCAGGTTTTCCATCCCTGCCTCCAGCACTGACCTCGCCTCTTACCTGACGATGAAGTGCTGCAACCTGCGGGCCAGCGCTTGCCTATCCTGTTCCGATTGGCTCCAAATAAGGTCTGGTTTATAAAAATGTGTATATTCCAAAATGAGTATTTCTGAGAATCGCCACAAACGGGGGAATTGTCCTTTATGTTGTATTTGTGTTTATTAGAACATATGTACTTATGACAGTTGTCACTGTAATAAACGGTAGTTCTTCATAATACTGTTGAACCGAAGAGCAGTTACTAATTTTTTTCCAGTTTCCAGAATGTCCTTTGAGCTATGTGGGATTTCTGATGGATGGGGCAAGGAATTTGGGATCAGGCTATAAACTTCATGTCATCAGCACCAGTCTCTGCTTACTGCATTCAGCCTCCTGCCAATGTCCTACATCTGCCAATGCATGGAGAGCACTTCCAGAGAAAACGCATTTCTAAAGGTGCAAGCTGTTGGGTTGCTGAGCTCCACGGGGGGCTCACAGCCAGGCTGTCGTGCCTCTCTCCTTTTCTCTCTTTGAAGCACATATAAAAAAAAAAAATAAGCTGAACTTTGTTTCCTGACAATTCCTTATATCCTAGCTCTGATCTGCGGACCACAGCCCTCTCACTGCTTCTATGCAGGAGGACGTGGCAGACAGAGGGAGCTGGGGCACTAAGGTACCTCTTGGGCACTGGAAATTTGGCTGTGCTGAGGGGAAAGTAATGCTCTGAAAGGGGAAAAAGTTGTCCTTCTCCCCCCCCCCATCCCCTGTGAGTAACCCACTCTTCCGTTATGGTTTTAATATGCATTTGTAATTACCTTTACTAAATAGCACACCATAAAGCTTTGGTTATATATTAAATGTAAACTGAAAGGAATGTAAACAAACATATGTATTGTTAATTATAAATAGATAAGTAATGGCATAATAGATACAAAAAGTCTTATTCAGATGTATCAGTCATTTTACATTATCCACAAATAGTCGCATGATAGAGTAGATTTTTGTCTGAATATGTGAATAACTTGACTTGCGTTTATCTTTTTACATATTTAATAAAAAAATATATGTTAAAATCTGTCTAGCTCTAGAGACTATTCAAAACATTCTAAAATAATACTTTTCTGGTTTAAATACATATTTTTGTTTCATTAGTGACTGCACATGGGGGCAGGAAGAAAAGGGCAACTGCTTTAAAAAAAAAGTTCACTTATCCTGTGTGTAGGTAGTATCTGTTTCCCAATGAGCTCAGCAACTGTACCCCCCTCTGCAAATCAGAAAAACCAAAATGAAACACATGTATGTATGTGCATGTAAACAGATCACGCTTTATGGTAAATGCTTTCTGATTTCGGAGTACTAAATCTCATGTTGTGTCTCAGTTTTGAGATAGCAAAAGCAAAACTCGCAGCAGCCAGGAGGTGAAAAGAGCATTATATCAAGGGCACTGAAATTCCCGGAGATTTTTTGTTGCAATGGCCAGGTATTCAGGGATGAATCTGCAGTGGAGTACATAAAAGCGGCCTACGTTTTTTATTAAAATATTAGTTTTTTGGAAGAAAAGGGGAAACATCATTATAATTCTTACAGCTCTGATCTTTTGCAGCATGACCTGTGTTGCTGCAGTAGTCGCTGCTAAATCTCCAGAGATTTGAGCGTTGGGTCAGGACCTGTCTTTGTCATGGGCTGAAGGTACCTGGTGGTCTCCCACCACCACCAATAGGTCAGCCTGAGCCCTCCCACTGCCTCTGGGTATTCCTGGGGCTCGGGCTGAGCCACTGCCCAGCCCTACTCAGGGAAGGTTTCTGGTAGAGGAGGGAGAGGATGAAGCCAGGACCAGAGGAGCCCATTTCCAACCCAGGCACTCAAACCTGGGAGAGCAGTGCTAGTTCAGTTGTTTTTCATAAGACTGGGGAGGGATGCATGTATTTGGGCTAGAGTGAATGCTCAACAGTATATATATATATAACACAAAGTAATATATTTTCCAGTTCAAATAGTTGAAAACTTTCTGCTGCAATGTTGTGACCAAAAAAAATTGTCAGACTGTTAGGTCCTCTTCATGCTGTTACTTGACTTTGCAAAATAAATCTGTGACCATGCTGCCCTACGAACAAAGCATTTTTATTCCTGTTCATTGAACCAGGTACCATCTAAGATGGCTAACAATTCAGTATATACACTATGCAATACATGATCTGTTTTTATACTTGTCTTTATAGAGGCTGTAGTGACAAGTTGCTTTAAAAAGGAAAGCCATGTCTTCATATAGAAGTGAAAAGGCTGGATGGAGCTTAATTTGCCAGTTGGACTTGATGATCTCAGAGGGTCTCTTCCAACCTTAATCATTCTATGATCCCTTTTAAAGTGATACTGTATTTCTCTTTAAAAAGGTACAAGTGCAGGCAAGTTGTGGGAGTTCCATTTTTATAATTTCTTTTAATGAAATATTTCAAAATACTCCATTAGAGCGCACCAAATTGTGCTGCTTCTGTGACCCTTATTTCCAACTGTTTCATAAAGTGCAAGACAGAGGAAGAAGGGAAGCCTGACCAAACTGTTCCTCCAGTACAACTGCATTCAATCCAGAGGTATTTTTGTTTCTTTTATTCTAATTCTTTTCTCGTCAGGACTTCCTCCAGATCCTTTTGATGGACAGGTTAAATATAAACTGTTGAAATAGGTAAGACTTTTGTGGCAGTGTATCTGGATTCAGATGTAATATTTCACTTCATCCAACAGTGAGATTGCTAGGTGCATGCCTACATCAACCTCGTCATTCCCCTTCAGACACAGCCAGAACTGCCTTCTTAAGCATCTCTCATTAAACAAGGAGCCCTCAGCCTTACTGTGAGAAAGAGGGTCCTCGGGCACTTAGGGAGCACCTTGGTGGAGGTCTCACACTCCCTGGGCATCATGCAGGGCATGGGGACAGCCATCCCAACAGGGGGAAGAAGGCTGGAAGATGCCTCTTGTTGCTCCAGCCCTGGAGTTGGACCATGGCAGTGCTGGAGGGCACAGGAGCCTCCCTTTGCTGCAGGACTCTCAACAAAATCTTCAAGCCAGCATAAACAGGATGACCTGTGTCCCCTGTCTAGCTCGGGCCTTAAGTTGCTTGAACTGTGGCTGTACCGTGGTGTTCATTTGAGGGGGATGGGACCCTAAACATGCTTGTTCTGGATGTGGGACATGCAGACTTTCAAACTATAAGGTACTTCACAAATTGGTGTGGTGTTTCTGCTTCGTGGAGAGGGGAAGCTGGTGTCTCCCTTGGTACCTACAGTGAGGCCTGCCAGCAGAAATCGGCCCTACTAACATGGTAGATCAACTACTGTAACAGGTGGTACAAACTTAAATTGAACCTGTTCATAAAGATATGACTACTCAGTTGAAATATTAATGGGAGTTACTGATGTAAGGGCATGTTAACTGGGGAAAAATTGATCAGGCCAATGATTAAGCTGGAGAAATGGCCTAAGAACTGAAAAGGGTGAACTTAAGGCTCAGCAGCTCAACAACTGTGCTTCTGGCAAGCAAAATGAGAGTTAATTGGTTAATAAACCTGCCAGTCAGGCAGTCACATCCCCCGTGCAAGAAATGCAATGGAAAGCTTACCTTGGGAAAAACGGCCAGACTGTTTCATTACTGCTTCAAGGCCGCGAAGGCCCTCTGGCAAGGGCAGCGTATGAAAAGAGATGAAACTCAAATTCCTACTTCTTCCTCCAAGGCATGCAAAAAACCCACATGTATTACAGATGAAGTGAGCAGTTTACATCTGCATGCAAATCTGTAATGTTTAAGAAAAGCTCTTCTTGGCTCAATTATTTTCTTCTTTGATTTTGGTCATTATCTAAAACCACGAGAATTTGTTTCAAACACACAGGCAAATAATTACTTGCTTTGCATTTCACACTCACAGATGAGGTTTGACTAACTAGTTTTGCAGTGAAACATGAGAATATTCAAGGGTTTGTTGGCCAAATTTATTGTCAGCTGGTTACCTTTGTAGGGTATCTTGCTTGTTGCTACCGAAATATCAATGATACGCTTGTTACTACCTAGAAATAAAGTCTAAAGACCAGCTGCTGCTATACAGAGCATTTCTGACAGACACTGGCCAGCTGAGACTCATCTTAATGCTGGGAAAAAAACCACCAATGCTTCAAAAATACTTTACTGTATCCATGGATTTCTGAGTTCATTTTCTTCTCCACATGTTCATTTGAGGTGAGGAGAATGCTGAGTAAATGTAAGCCCTTCAGGAGGTTGTATGGAAGAAAGGAGTTGTGAGAAAACAAATACAGAAAATGAAGCAGGCACAGATGTCTGAGGGGCAAGGACGTACAGGGAGGGTTTGCATGGCCAATGTCCCACTGGTGACCAGGTTGGGCAAAGCCAGTACTGGCTGTAAACCATCAAGGATCTCCTGTAACCTGGCATGGATTTATCCAAGACAGTGGTGAGGAGGAGGAAGACAAAAGCTTCATAGAGAGCAGTAACATGGCATTAGTGAAGACAATAAATAGCAGCAGCAGAACAACTTGGTGAAGCCTTCTCTGCTGGACAGAAATCTTCCTCTGAGATGAAGCATCTTGCTGCATAGCTCATTGTTGCAGTGGTTCGGATATCTGAACTGATCTATTCTTTGGTTATTTTAATCAGATTAATTCCAACTGTTTATCACGTCAGAAGAGCTGCGAATCTCCACGTCAAGTGCTACAGTCTGAGCATAGTGCAGGTGTTCACTCTTGGACACGTTTCTTCAGGGAAAAGATGTAAATGTTCAAGTGCTCACTCAGCTGCCTCCCCTACAGAGAAATCATGGAGATTAGCAAACAGGTTTTGTAGGTGCTTCACTACTCACCATCTCTCTTCTCCTGGTCAAGAGGGGAGAAGAACCCAAGCACAGTCCTGGTGTACTTGGGGACCTATGAGTACGTGGGAACCTTTGTGTAATCAAGCAAGCGAGTTGTGGTCTTCACATTCCTCTTGCAAGGGAAGTTAAGTCACTACAGAGCAGATTCACAGAGAACATAAACTGTGATGGAGCTGGGCCCCCTCAGTCAGTAGTGAATTTTGGCCAGGTATTTCCATTCTGACCACCACCAACTGGCCCACGCCTGTGCTAAAGTAAAATCTACAATGCCAATGTCTGCTGACAACAGGCTTCTTTCAGAGGCAGGAAGAAACATCCTTACATCCCAGTGGTGTACCTTAAATAAAAGAATGCTGACCAAATAGCTGTGAAATGAGATCTTTACCAGGCAAGATGTTTTACCTGAAAGCAAACTCCCATTAAGGCACCTTCCTAAGGATTATTTGATGATGCTTTTCAGAAAAAAAGGCATTAACTGAGGAAAAATTAATTTAAGCAGCAATTCAGATGATAGTAAGTGACAAAACTGGTATCGAGCAGACAAAAAAACTGCGCTGATAAGACTGAGTGAATTGGAAGACAATTCATGTCTTCAGCTTGGGAGAAGCTAATAGAGGGCCAAGAAAAGGTTAGAAATTGGGACTGCTATTTTGCTTTCAGATTCAATGCAAAGTTAACCTTATTTTATGAACTCTATTCATTTCACTTTACGTTTTACCTTCCTTTTTTTTTCAGTCAAGTAACCTCAGGAAGAAGAAAGGGAAAAGGAGTAGGAGGATTCATGCCACATGGGTCGACTGGTACATAAAACCAGTCCATAAATATTCTGATTGTGATGTGTTTAAAGCCAAAACCAGTCGACTACATTGGAATAATTCAAGTCACTGAAATTGCTGCACGTGGGAAAAGGCACTGCTTGCAGTAAACTGACTTTTTCATCTTTAGGCTAAATAAAACAAAACACTGAAAAATAACCCCATAACTGGACATTGAGAGTTGCAGACACTGCCCCAGCGTAGAAACCATCGCCAGACCTCATCTTTCTCCCCGCCCCAGTGCAGTCTCCCATGGCCATTTAGGAGGCACTCGCTCACCACGCAGACCCCGTAGTGCACGTGGGCGGCCGTGACCAGTGCAGTGAACACGGTGAGCACCGCTTCTTCTGTCCAACCCAGCAGCCCGGAGATGGCCGCGTAGACCACCAGTGCCAGCGGGAAGAGGACCCAGTGGAAAAGCTCGGGTTGAGTGCTGCTCATCTGGCAGACGATCACCTTGCACTGTTGGAGCAAAAGGCGAGAACCAGTGGATCAGCCCAGGGATGTAGCCAAAAGTACCACTGTTTTCTCTGTTGCTTGCTTTTGATGAGGGGAAAACAAGGCCACAGTTCAAAATGGGGCTTGTTGCTGGTGAGAAGACCACTGCAGATACACCTTTGTGCCTTACTGTCTGTGAGTCTTAAAGGTTTTATCACAAGTAATTTAAAATACACACACATTTTCTGGAGACAGTGTTTTGACACATTCCGCTTTATGAGCCAAAGCACATCTTCACAAAAGGGGAGTTTGTTTGGCACCTCATACTTCCACACCAGCTCGTAAAGTTGTGATCCCAAATCAAATGTGCCCCCACTTAATCACTGGGAGAGCGTACTGGTATTTTAATCACATGACATGACAGAGATAGATGCTGGTTCATTGACTAGAAGGGAGGGAAGGTAATATATGCCACTTTTAAATCCTGGTTTTCTTTTCTAGCACTCCTTCATGTACAAAAACACCATTTTCTTGGCTCAATCATGGCAGTGGCCTCCCTGGAGATGTAGCTGGGGGCCCAGAGAAAGGGATCCCACTCAAAATAAAAGAAAAAAACCAATGAATATATGGTGCTTGGTTTAACTAAGAGCAATTAGCTTAATTTTGCTGAGCTCTTGAAACATAATGAGATGAACTCAGTTGAAGTTCAGATTTTTAAAACCAGTTAAGCGCACCAAAATGTTCTACCTGGGTTAGACTCCTAAAGAAACGTGTCTCTTTCTAAAAAAAAAAGAGGGGGAATTTAGACATTTTTCAAGTTTCTACCAAAATTTAAATGTGGTTAAAAATAAGATTTTATATATCCTGAAACCAGTGGAAGAATGAAAAATTCATTCCCTGTGCAGTGCCTGAAATCCTATGAGAGCAGCAGCAGGAGTCTGACCAAAGGGAAAAAATGCTGGCTTTACTGTCTGTGCTGTGGAAGCTGAGGAATGCAAAAATAAACCATGAAAAAATACTTAACTTTCAATAAGGCAAGAAGTAAGCATTTGCACCTAATGTAAATAATTTTGCTTACAATGCATTACCAGTATTGATTATGAATTTTTTGAATAACACTAGTTTCATGAGTCCTTTGGGAATCATTCCAGAGGGTATCAAAAATTGCTAAAGCAATTTCTGTGCTGTAGTTTTTCTGGCTGAATAATTGCACCTGTCAAGAGGTTGGCTTTCACATTGTTTTAAAGCATTATTACACCACATTAAGTACGGTACTCGATTTTTCATAAAGATTGCTTAATAATATTTTGGAGCAATTCACCTTCAGTGTATCACGGGAATGCACAATGCACTGTGCTCCTCCCTCAATTCCTTATTCTCCTTGGTCCTGAAGCACTGACTCACACTACAAGTGAGGCAAAAACAGCATTAGGAGATGAAAGCGCTGGAGTCTGGAGAGGCAGACTGGAAAGAAAAGGTAAAGCCACAGGATCATGCCCTGTGCTTTTCCATTCCCCTCACCTACACCCTGCAATGGCACTCTGGCTCTCCAGAATTTAACCCTCTAGCAGCTGTGGTTTGTACCCCAGGGCAGGCACTTAGTGTCTTCTGTCTTATGGTCTCCCGACGGGAGGTTCCTCATGAAGCATCTCCCGAGTTCGAGCTGGTTCTTTTCATCATCCAGCCATCACATCGCACACTGCAGTCCCACTACGTGGGTAATGGCTGAAGGTCTCCTCAGACAGACCAGGGCCCTCCACTCAAACCCATGCCTCTGAAGGCTTCCTACGTGGGAGCTGTGACAGTTGCGCTCTGCAGTGATTTGCTCAGACCTGGACATTTCTGAGAGTTGCCCTATGAGCAGATCTCAAAGCAAGGTCTGAGCTTCTCGGAAGAGAAGAGTGGTCAACCCACAGGCAGTCCTGCTGCTGGCTGTGGGGACTGGGGAAAGAAGTTCTCCTCTCAAGCTTTTCTTTTTAAGGTCTTGGTGGCCTTTTTTCCCTAGTTTAGCCAAAAATGCTGGAAATGGGCCATCTTTCTGCCCTCTCCTAGGAGGCTGTCATCTTCCCTACTCCTTCTGACATTGCACGGCTACGAGGCCAGGTCTGAGCCCAGGAGTTTAGCCCAGGGGAGCTGCTGGGCAACTGAATGTGTTGTCAAAGGCATGAGAAGTTCAGGATAGTGGCAGGTAGAGAAATGTGGGCTGCAGTTTGTGGTTTACAGAGCAGATCATGGAAAACCAGTGTGTCAGGCTATCATGGAGCAGAAGAGCATTGCCATGACAAGCCCTGCTCTGATGCTGGGTGAAACGTGTTTAAGGGACCAGAGGAGGTGAAAGGAAGTACAGACTTGGGTTTTTCACTTTTAAAATGTTATAAATTCCGACTAACACCGATACATTTTTAATGCTTGCTTTTAAAATGTTAACTATTTCAACTAATGTGCATACATTTTTAATTCATGTGAGCTCTAACACTGCAGTAGATGTTTTGGTAAAAGGAAAAGCAAGGCCTGAAGAAAATGCATTGCACTCAGTGTCTAATAAAGTGCAGTCTAGAAAGAAGCTTCTGGTTTGCCATGCTATTTTTCTTCTGCAAGCAACCTGCCACAATTGCTCTCAGTTGGCTAAGACATATGTGCAGAACCTGTTGTCTGCCAAACTCTGAAAGCACTTTCCCACTGGTGTGAAATAATTGTATTCCTCATTTAAGAATCAACGCCGTTCTCTTAAGAAAAAGGGGTAGATTAGGTAATGAAAAATGCATAAAATAAAATTTTTATGTCTGAAAAGAACCTAACTTTTGTGAGAATAATTTTTTACTATGGAACTGTTAGATTTGTGCCCCTCAGAAACGTACAGTTATAGGATACATCTAACAAGCATCACAATTATGATTTATTTTCTGTTCCTGAATATAAATTTCTAGCAAGGTTATGCTTCCCCTTTTAAAATCCCACATTTTCAAAGATCTCTCTCATAGTACAAGGCACTGAAAGACTTTCTCTTATTAAACTGGATGCAGTGTTGCTCAGTGACATGATTTTAGATGGTGTTGGAGGCTAACTTCCTAAAATGACAATCAGTTCTATCTTTTGGGGTATTTTAGCATTAACAGGGGGAACACTTTTCTACTTGGCTGCGGCTCCCTTGCCTCTCTCCTGGCTAAAAGAGTGGCAAAGGGCCTCCTCCAGAGAAGAAAGCCCTGGGTTAAGTGTGGTGCTCAGCATTACTGCCTGCCTGCCCTTGTTACCACTTCACCGAGGTTTATGTTGCCTTTCAGGTACAAAAAGGGAGAAATTTGAGATATAGGAGAACTGGAGGTATAGGAGAATCTAAAACTAACCTGTGGGCAGAAAGCCACTGCAAGGCCCCTGCACCTATTTATGTTTTTCCCCAGTTTTACCTGTATGTTGGCGGATATCTGTTATATTTCTGGAAGTAAGGCCTCTCCAGGGCTGTTCATAAACTCCCCAGGAAAAAAAAAAAACCCTCATAAAAATGTTCTGCTGTGGTAGAGTAGGTGTTGTGGTACTGTAAGTGTCCACACAGCTGCTGTGGTGTATTTTTATACAAGATTGGGTAACACAGAGGTAGAAGAGCAGTGTGGTTCGGCTGAGTTTTAACTACACTTTCTGTTCCCTTCTGATTATTCACATAGAAATAGAAAGCTATCTCTAAATTATGCCACCACAAACATACTTACAATAACGTTTGAGAAAGCAACTCCAACCATCCACAGAAACAATCTTGGTTGCTTTGCTAATACGTTGCTTGGAGATAAAACCACCCAGACTGTAAGAAGAACGAACAGCAACAGAGGTGACACAAGAGGTAGGAGTCCTTCATACAGAGAATCATTCTTCAGTGTTTTCTTTACATGTGCTCTGTAAATAAATACAATCATTTTACGGAGTAAGAAAATTTATCCACTCTATTTTCACACAGTAACTTCAAAGTCTAGCCTAAACTCAGTCCAAGAATTCATCTTGCAACATAACTATCCATGCACATGTGCTAGATACCCAGACATTCTATGAGAAATTGTAGGATACTCAAGTAATATTTATTGCTGGGATAAAATTATATCATTTTATTCACACAGTTTCTGGTCAGCTTCACCAGCTCAGCTTTACACACACAGTGAGCTGCAGTAGCTCCATCACTGTAGTTGTCATCCAAATGCACAGCATGCAGGCTTGCGGTGAATTCAAAATACATATTTTTCAGAGCATGAAACTTCTGACACAAGCCATGGAAAGACTCCAGCCAATACACCCCACATTTTCAGTGGCAACACAGTCAAGCACATGGCTGGAAGGCGTTGCTGTGGTTTAGGTTGAGAGGTGATGCTGCTACACAATCCTGTACCCTTGCCAAAGTACAGCCTAAAGGGAAGGCTTTTTTTGCTAATTAAAGTATAGGAAAATCAATGATACACTGTGATTTCTTGGATATTTTAATCTGTCTTTTAAAGGCAGTACTATTAAAGGTACTGTAAGTTACTGTTTTCTGTCAGCTAGGAAGAAGGTAACTGTAAGATCAAGAGATTTTGCATCTATTTTGCATCTTAGGCAAAAAGAGAGGTTATAAATTATAAAAGGACTAGGGAGTTTAATTTACTGAAGTTCATTATCATTCAAACACTTCTTCATACCAATAGTTCAGAAGAGCAATTCTATGTTTGAAATGTACTGGGAAATAACCTGTTTAAAATCTTTGACCATCTGTATTTACTGAAACAGCTAGACAAAAATCCAATAAATATCTTTCTTATTCCAAAAAGAATATCCTTCTCACAAAATAACAACTGAGAACAGGCAGCAGGATGAAGAAACAGAGGAGATGATTGGAAAACTCAAATTCCTCATCAACAAGTAGTTTGTGTGTGCATCCTCCAAGCAACCCTGGCTGGATGTTTACAATTACTGTGCTCTCCCATTCAGAGGAATGCTAAACTATGTCAAATGATTACTTGAAAAGGAAAACGCTAAACAAAAATCCTGACATGAGAGGAAAAACTAAGTGTTCACTGGTGTAAATGCTGCTACTGCCAGGGCCTGACATGCCCATGGTGCTGTTCTCCTTCTCCCAGTCTTCCCCAAACTGGGGTCCCCAGTCCCCTCCCACTGCTGCTCTCAGCACCCTGTCCCAAAGCCCAGCCTTTCTGTGGGTCCTCAGCCTTTCCCACCTCACATCTCCTGACTCTCCACTCTTCCTGCCCCAAATTTATGGCAATTCATGCTTTTATTAACTACACTGAGCAGTGCGACATGAAAAGGGCTGTGTAGGAGCAATGCGTTATTGACTTACAGTCCCTTCAAAATTTAAATGTTAATATTAATTTCCACTAATTGCTGAAGACAGGCAGTGACAGTCCCTCCTCCAGGACACTTGGGGTCTGAGAAACCTGATATGACAGATGAGTGAAATGAGCTAGCAAATACTAGAGGAAGGCAGGCAGCATTAATAAAAATGGGCCATATAAAACTCCTAGGTGCAGCAAGCCAACACATAGATGTAATCCCAGCTTGCCACCTGCTTAGCCCACATGTCATGGCAATTATCTGCAGACTTCATAGAGACTAGAGTTTCACAGAAGGATCAGGAAGACAATAAAGTACTTCATGGAGCGCAGGATGATCAGCTACACAATTTTACCCAGCACAAGTATAAGTTACAAATCACACTTCACTGCAAATAAAATGCAGTGTTTATAACTACAGAGCTTTCATGAAGTTACTGTGCAGGACCAGTGTGAGACTGTCTGCAGAATGGCAAGTGAAAGGAAAAGGAGAGGAGATATAAACATGGAAAAGAAACCAGTCAGATTCTCAACATTGACCAGAAAAACCTCTTACTACATTATCAGGACAGCATCTGGCTAAAAGAAGCTACGTTACTTCAAGCATTACATTTATTTTTCACAGAAGGATACCATTAAATATACAGAACTAAATGGAAAGGAATTGAACTTAATGTTAATTAACTTACCTGTGAATGTTGTATAGTGTCTGTGGAAATGAAAGAAATAAACTGAAGCCTGGAAGAGAAAAAGATTCCTATGTCATGATTTACAGTCATGCTACATTCATGAGCTCAGAGTTTTCTCATATGATAACAGAGCTAGTGTGCTATTTTAAAATGACTCGGTATTCCTGTATTCATTACAGGATATGAACTGAGGTTGGAGGCTTTAGGCAATAATAAAACCTTCCTTATTTTTCCAAAAGTTAGCTGCTAGAAATAGTTGCTGATACAGATTTTTCGTGTGTAATGAATGACAAGACCTAGAAGATTTTTAAAAATTCTGATGTAGCTATTAGATAGGATCTGTTATCTGTCAAACAGGTTCCTCTGCTGGGCCCAAGAAAGATCATGGCCCCATTTTGCATAAGCTGCTCTCTGTTTATGTAGAAAAAAAACCCAAGTCTGACACCAAAAGCTTCCCAGTGGAATATATAAAGACAATTAACCTCAAACAGTGCTGCCCACATTACTGGGAAAATAACAGGTTTATAGTTCAATATACCTAGGTTCAACTACCGATCTGCCTTGCTGATAAAATGGCTGAAATTAATTAATTTTTGTCATCTAGCCACCATTTGAACGAGCAAGCTTTTTTACTATATTTTTTAATACAGCTGTGACCTTTCTGGAGCTCAGCTTTAATCCACAAAGGACAAGGGATTGGCCTTTGCCAGCGCTGTGTCTCTCTGCATTGCTCTTGATGTTACCAACACAGCAGCCCTAGAGCTGCCTGCAGTCCCAGTTCTGCCCCATCTAACACCCACATCCAAAATGCATTGGTCCACCCACGGGCCAAAGAAGACCTCCAGCAAGAAGTGGGAGTTCAAGCTTTAAATGAAAAAGCCACAGTATTAGTTAGCCTAACCAGTGAAAATATATGTAAACCTTTTTTAATCTGTGACACCCATTTTCTCTGTGTTTCTCTGCAGAGCTCTTTGGGTTTGGTTTGTTTTTTCCCCCCACTTTGTGTATCAAGGCCTTTTCCCTGGTCTGTTTGCTGCTTGGATATTGCTCTGGGTAGCACATTTCTGCCCAGCTTTCATAATATAAGGCATAAGGACTGGTTTTTGTGCACTAAATTAATAGATAATTTCTACGTTGTTATGGACAAGAAAAGCCTTCTGATGTTGTAAACATTCTGCTTTTACCTTAAAAAATCTAATTTGAGAAACACAGTGTACTGTTTGCACATAAAAAGAGCAAACGTTAATTTCATTATTAGAAATCAGGAAAAATAAGAATGAACAGAGGAAAGAACTGATTTCAGATGACTTTGTGCTGGGGCTAATGTGGCATAGCAGACTCTCCAGAAATGTCAGTGTTTACCATTCAGTCCTCATCAAAGACATATCCAAGCACACTCTGGCCAGAGTGGCAACTCAAGAGAAGGAAAACTTTAAAAAGCAGCAATAGTGGAGATCAGGATTGTTGGAAAACAGAAGAAGTAAAAAGGGATGCAGGAGATAATATCTCTCCCCAGTCTTTCTGGTTATCTTTTAATGAGGAATAAACAAAGAATTGGAAAAAAATATTACCCAGCCTATAAATAATTTCAGGTATTGCATTTTTACATTTTTATTTCTTGGTTTTTGCTTTATAAAACAAGTAAGATAAAGAACTTTGCTTCTTTACCATGGCAGGAACTCTGTACCAAACAGATGAAGGATGTGCAATTGAAGTAATACTCCAAGTATTCTGTAAATACATTTCTAAAATTCGCAAGCTTAGTGCCTTCAGAATGATCTGTGTTTAATGTGCACTCCGGTTAGCTATGTTTTCTATTAGGCAGGGAGGGCTAGTTCAATAAAATCTTGAGTTACGTACAGCAGTTTCAACATCTGTATCACATTAGAGCAGACATGAGACAAAACATTGACTCTTGAGGTTAAATCTAAATTTCCTGCTGCAATCCTGAAGTTTGATTTGTTAGGAGAAAAGCAACCGAGAGGAACAGAAATAGAGACTACAACTAGAAATAGAATTCAAAGAGCCATGGTTGCCAACAATTTGTTATTTTTATGAAGTGTCATTTTAGTTAGAAATAACACGCTGACCACAAACAATCCCCCAGTCAGCTAAAAGCCACTTTCAGACTGGGGCAGTTACACCAGTTACTGCTCTGTATTTTTACACGGCTTCCCTTGTAGCAGAGCAAGAGCTGAGGATGCGGTAGGGAAAGCAAAGGGTGTTCCCCTGTTTCTTACGGGATCTTCAAAATTCCATTTCCTACAACGTGTTGCTTTCCCATCTTTTTTTAGCTAAGGAGGCCTGGCTTGGGGACTGCTTTTGGTACTCATTAAGTCTGCTTTTTAATTGGCATTAAAGATCCCTTTGTGCCCAGGAGCTAAACTGCTGCTTCCGCATCGCTGCCATTCCCCGCTGGTCTGGGGAACAAAAGCTGCAGCCTGGAAAGCAATCCCACTGCTGGCTCTGGCGCCCAGCCATGCAGGCACTGCCCAAATGATGATCATGATAATGATGATGATGATGATCATGCAGCTTTTTTTTTCTTTTAAATGTCCTAAAAGTGCATATTTTATTTTAAAATAATTTTAAACCCCAAGTTTAGTGTATTAGGCATTTTTAACACATTACAGAAAACAGACTTTATCAAGTGTTTATTGGACGTGTAACTGCTCATGCACTGTTTTTTAATTTCCCTTTTAATACTTCCCCCCATTTTCCAGCTGATTTAAATTCTGAGACTCAACTGTAAGAACACAGGCCTGTATTAAAGGCAGAAATACTAAAGCACAGATGGGTGGCACAGATACACACAGGGAATTCTTGTGTCACGTTAAGCTGAAGGTATCAAGCCCAAATCCTTGGATTTAGGTACAATCCTATGGTCAGTCCTCTGCCTTGCACTATCTTGACTGTCTTTTCAGAGAAATAAGCATTTGTAAAGCCCTTTATCAGGAATTATTTTGTCCATATTAAAAAAAAAAAGCAATACATTCAGGAATTCAGGATTAGAGACATGTTAGAAATAAAGGCATTATCTTGTTTTCCAAAACTATCTATACATAAACACACAGTTACTTACACACACACACACACACAGAGACATGTGCATATATACATATATGCATATACATATATGCACATGTGTGTAAAAGGGATAAAAAAGATAATTCCCAGCAATTCTAGAGACAACTTTAAATTTGATTTGGTGCTTTCAAATTCAAGTCCAAAAGAGCAAGATGTTGCATGACATTGCTGAGTGAATTAAAAACAAACAAACAAACACCACCAAAAAAAATCTAGGATGTGATGGATGCTATGGTACATTTGTCCTCTGTGTTAGTCTAGACTAACAGGAATATATTTAAGTTTATTTATATATGAGGGCAACTTATTGTACATAATTAAACTTAAAGACTACTGAAGACCTGCAGACAGCCAGGTTATGTTTCTGTGACACCTTGCTGTTACTTAGTGTGGCTGCTGTACCCAAGTTAATGTAGGCATTTCTGTAAAATAGAGACTTGCTCATTATAGAGAAAGAGAGGCTACAGCCCAAAACAAACTGCTGACGTGAATGTCACTCCTGGAAATGCTATTTCAGTAACCAAGAGAAGTGCCCCACGCTGCTTTTCAAAGCTAAAAAGCCTATCACAGGTAGCCGGGTTCCTGAATACACCGAACTTCACAGACTGTAAACACCACTAAATAACGAAGCAACTAAGTAGGTAGACAAGACACCTAAAGCACTATTTTTAAACAAATTATACGGCTACAAAAGAAGGACAATGTTTATGTTAGCTGTTTATCTTCTCCACACCTTTGTTATCATAAATCATGCTTATTGGTAAGTTCCGGACAAGTGAACATCCTAAGAAAATAACTGAAACATTATTTTATGCGAATTGGCTCTTCCTGATAGATAAAAGATCAAAAATGAGACAGTGCAATACAGGGATGCCATTTTAGCTGAACACAGTACTGGAAACTGGGGGAATTTGTTCAGGAAAGTATCCTTCCGTCCCTGCTGTGCTCCTCTCAAAAAAGACTCCCCAGAGCATTCCTCCCATTTGGGAGGCAGTGAAGAGGTCTGCGTAAGCCTTCTTCTGGGCAAAGTGCAGAAGTTGAGCTCAGTGAAAATCAAATTTTTAACAGTAGGCAGTTGTTGTATTGCACCCTACAAATGAAATACTATCACCCTCCTCTCTTATTCTTCAATTGCCTACTCCTCCACATGGCCTCTTTCAGTACACGGTTTGGTCTTTCTATCATCTCTGTGTTAATAATTCACCATAGTCAATGCTTGCTTTAAGGAAATGGGAAGTTTCTTAGCCACCAGACCTAAAAAATAAGATTAAAAATATTTAGGCCTCAATCTGATCTTGGGAAAATCTTTAAATTCTTTTTCCATGTTTTTTTTCAAATGTCTTCCACATTTAGAGCAGCTAGACACATGAAAGTATCTTAACACACTGAATGTTTAGCACACTGATTGGTGCCTTGAAGCATGTTTCAGCAAAAGGTGAACATTTAGAAGCACTTGTAACTGGAACAGCAGCTTTTTATGGAACAGCGTGATTTTTCTCAGGCATGTCTTGAGAAGACAGCTCTTTTAATTGATTGAGCAAACAGATAATTGCATATTGAGCTGTCCACTAACTATAAAACTATTTTTTATCATTATATAAAATGGGAAACTTAGAACCACTTAGTAATTGGAAAAAAAAAAGCCTGGAAAATGAGTATGTAATTTTCAGACTTAATTGAGCCTGTAAATCTGAATACATTAAGCAATGTAAGGACGAATGAAAAATACATCCAAACAGATCTACACAGTGTGAAATTATTTTACAGGGATGAAGAGCACAGTGTAAACATAAGCACTGTCTTCATGCACAAAGTTGATGTATATTTTGGATGTTTAGCATCTAAGACACTTCTTGAGTATAAAGATTGTAAAGGAATGCATTTATCACGCCTGTTGATTTTACAGCTTATTTTCAGTGTCTAAGGAAGTACACACTGCATTTGTCTTTCTTGAACCAAGCT